ACTAGAAAGCAATAGATTTCTTGCTTCTGCCACAAATTCCCCCAGCTGTGAGCCTTCCAACCTTCTAAGTATTCCCTTATATGTGGTTCAGAGTTCTGGGACCATCCCCTGAGCCTGCTTGGTCGGGTATTCTGTGTTGTTGTTGGCGGAGCTCTCTGCTATACGTCCACCTGTTCCGCCATCTTGTTTGTTCCACCCATTGTATTTTTATATTAATTTGCATTACTAGATTGGAGTCCTGGTGTGGTGCTGTGGGTTAATGCGCTGGACTGAAGGGTTGGTTTGAACCACGAGGTTGCAATCCAGGCTCACCAGCTGTCACTAGGAGTTGGAACCGACTGACTTGACAGCACTTAACTTCACTAGATTATCACAATGCTTGTCTCTCCCACTAGACTGAATTCTATGTTTATTTTATCTCAAACACCTAGAATGTTGTAGATGCTGAAGAAATAAACGGATGGATAAATGCATATAGATATATGAAATGGATGACTAAATGAGTTCTAACCATGGTATTGCCATTGTATGACTACTGCATCTTTTAAGAACTCTCTAAAATCAGTGATTGAAATACATGAGTGTTTATTAAAATCTCATACACAACTTTACAAAATACCTAAATTCTCAAAAAACATTTAAAAACTAGCATTTTAGATTGTGCTCCTTTCTACCCCTGTGAGTCCTATAACCATAGCAACTTTTTAAACTGCTAACACAGTGATTTTCTGATGATGACAAAGGATCAAGAAATACCGGCCAACTACCTCCTAGTATGTTGCATAGTGCCTGGGGTCTTAAAAGCTTGTAGGCAATCATCCAAGGCACAAAAGTTGGTCCCTGTTCACCTGGAACAACAGAGGAAGAAGGAGAGTCAAGACTAGGAGGGTGATGTGTAATGTGTGGTAAACTGCTTCCATGAACAACTGCCTCCTTTGCCATGAGTCCAAAAAAATCCACAAAACGGTATGGTAACCACCTACCATTGATTCATAGAAGAGTCCTGATCAAAAAGAGGGAGCAACAGAATTTCAAATTCTAATGACCTTTAGATTTTTCTAGAGCCGTTGTTGTTGTTGTTAAGTGCTGTTGAGTCGGTTCCGACCCATAGTGACCCTGTACAGGGTTTCTGAGGCTGTAAATCTTTACAGGAGCAGAAAGCCTCATCTTTCTCCAGCGGAACAGCTGGTAGTTTTGAATTGCTGACCTTGCAGTTTGTAGCCCGATTCGTAACCACTACAGTACCAGATCTCAGAATTTCAAATTCTAATGACCTTTAGATTTTCCTGGAGCCATTGAATGTGATTAAACCCCTGAAACTTCTGCCCTGAGGTCATCATCAATAATATCCCCTGAAATCATCTTCAAACTTAATAGTTTAGCATAACTAGTAAAAAAATTTCTGTCTTGAGCGTTATGTTCTTTTAAGAACTGTGTATAATGGGAATATAATACAGAACTATCAAATTGGACGGAGCCCTGATAGTGTAGTGGAGTTTATGAACTGAGGTGCTAACCTCAAGCTTTGAATCTACTAGTTGCTCCAAGGAAGAAAGATGAGGCTTTCTGCTCCCTTAAAGATTTGCAGCCTTGGAAACACTACACAGGGTACTGTGACTTGATCACACACAACCACCACCACCATCATATCAAATGGACTACTCTAATGATTAGTTACAAACCTTAGGGGCAGTAAGTTTGTTAATGAGGGCAAGAATGGTTGCACAACTCAATGTGATAAATGTCACTAAATTGTGCATATAGAAACTGTTGAGTTGGTCTGAATTTTGCTGTGTATATTCTCAACAACAAAACAACTAGAATTTAAAGAAAAAGAAAAGGTTAAGATAGTATTTTAAGAATACACTTATCTTGAAAGAAAGACCAGCAGGAAAAATAAAAAACAAAACAACATTCTGGTTGGCTACTACAGGAACAAGCAAGTTGTTCTTCAGGGATCCATCAAGTCAAGCAGTCAAGTCCCTTCAGGACAAACCCTCCTCCAAGACTGAAACTCAGAGGGAACTCATGAGCAGGCTTGTAAGCTTTCTGGCAACCATGTTGGTCTACTTATAAGTGAAAGTGGGAGAAAGGCAGCAATGAAGATATGGGCTGAGTTTGACCACATTCCATAGACTTCGTTGACCTGAAGATGAGAGAGAGAAGAGGAAGGGCTGGTTGGTCTGAAGTATAGTGAGGCCTGCAGACTCCTGAGCCATGGACAAGGACATAACTATGGAAGGCTAGAGCTGAGAATGAAGCATCCAGCTGATATGAAGTGAGGGGAGACACATAAGAAGCCCAGAGTTGCAGATAGTCCTCATTTGACCTAGCTTTGATGGCTTGATGATCAGAACTCAACTAGAGGAAGATAAAGAAATTTGATAAAGGAAACAAGTGTAAATTGTTACAATTTGATGAACTTGATCTATACTTGTGGACGTGTTGTTGTTGTTAAGTGCCTTCAAGTTGGTTCCGACCCATAGCGACCCTGTACAGGGTTTCCGAGGGTGTAAATCTTTACGGGAGTAGAAAGCCTGATCTTTCTCCCGCGGAGCAGCTGGTAGTTTCGAACTGCTGACCTTAAGGTTCGCAGCCCGATTCGTAACCACTACGCTACATACTTGTGGATGTAGTAGCTCAAAATACCAACTGAGAGGGAAAGAGTCTTCACATCAAGGATCAAAACTATCCCCTCTGTACACAGGGTTGATAGGGACGGACAACTTAGACACTGGCTACCTAAAATGGGGAGGCTGTAATGGCACAAGTGGCTTGCTTACAAGTTTTCAAGAGGGACTTTAGTTTCAGAATGTACAGGGGAAGGTAGAATCCCCACTGAATAGTTTTTATCTTGTCTAGACGGGTCTGGTGAACAGAGATGAGAATAAGATTCTTATGATTCAATAGTGAGTAATTGTTACCATGACTAAATGTAATGGTCACAACTGTAAAAGTAGAAGTTTTGTAACATAGAGTGGGGAGTGGTTAATCTTATACTCCAGGAACAGAGGACCCTAAGACCATCAAGGGAGAAGAGCATGAGCAGAACGTGAGACCCTAAAGAGAAGCAGCAACACCAGAGATGGAGGCAAAGATGAGGACAAGGAGAGACAGAGCAGTTGAGGACTCGAGACTCATGGAAAGTAAAAGGCTGTGTGCTGGCAGCCAGGAGGCAGGCTTGCAGAATGTACTCTTTGGCTGTTTAAATGACTACATATTCCTGAATGTTTTTGTGTACATCAAAAAGCAAACCAAACAACAACAAAAAAACAGGGAATAGAGGCAAATACTGTTAACTGTTGGTGCATGGAGGGGATTGTAATCATCGCAATGAAACAAAATTTGAAATGCTGAGTGCAAAACCAATGTTATTGCATATGAACTATCACTCAATTCACAACAAAACTTTTTTTTTAAAGAATACATTTACTTCTCTTCTCTTTGCTTTGTTCATGTCTGTTATACCACTGTATTGTAATTAATTGTCTATTTTCCACTTTAAACTACTGTGCTGTTATGTTACTATTAAAGGCGGGGATAACTTCCTACTTCTCTTCCTTCTCTTCATAAAGCAATATCTGTGGTGACTCAGAGGGGGAATTGGCTCAACTAACAACTTAATTAGTTTGAACTAAATTTGAAGACAGTATCTCATTCTAAACAATGACAAAATCTCCCATTCAGTGGATGTTTTGGATCTATCAAATATTTATGATTATTGTGCTGGTGAGAACAAAAAATTGGCAAGATTAAAGGGAGAAGTTGCATATGTGGCTGTTGTTGCTGCTGTGTGCCATCAAGTGGTTCCAACTCATAGCAACCTGACCCTGTGTAGTGTTTCTGAGGCTGTTATGTCTTTAAGGGAGCAGAAAGCCTCATTTTCTAACACGTCTATAGTTGCAATTCGAGGCTACTTTCTTTCTTTTGTTGTTCTGATTCTCACAAAACTCATTCACTTAGGCCAGAGAATCGTATTAACATATGAAATAAGGTGATGCTTATTTTTCTTCTATTCTTATCTACCAACTTACAATCATGAAGGATTGATTAACTTTTTGCTCTTCTACTATCCAGGAAGAAAAACAGAAAAAGAAAATGGCTGCAAAGCTGGAATTAGCAAAATTTCTGCAAGAAACAGTTACAGAAATGGCAAGGAGGAACAGAGCGAAGTTGGGGGATGCCTCTATACAGTTCTCATCCTATGTAGAACAGGTGTCAGTCTTTTATGCAATACCAAACAACTGGGGTTGGGGTGATATGTCATTTCCAGGTTGTTCTCAAATTGTTGAGTTGCAAATATCTAAATTATAAAGCATTATAAATTTATGTTTGGGCAACTCACTTTAGTTGTTTGCAGAAAAGTCTATTTTTAATCAATTAATTTTTTGAAAATGTTGGTAACTTCTTAGAAAGAACAGTAGAATTACAGTCAAACCTTTGAACTACTCCTGATTTCTTCAGGTGATTTAGGTTGACTTTATACAGATTTCTTGACTCCTCTTTGTAGGTTAGGGGGGTACATTTCCAGGTATCAGATAGAATCCATAAATGCTTTCATAGTCAACTGGGAAAGCCAAATTAAGTAGGAAGCACATTTTAATTAGCCTTTTTATCTCATTGCTTAGGTTCAGACGGGCCACAAACCTAGCACAAAGGAGATAGTTCTCTTCTCCAAACTGTTTGAGGATGCACTAACTATGGAGCACTTAGATCGACCTCAGCTGGTTGCCCTTTGCAAACTGCTAGAACTGCAGTCTTTTGGAACCAACAACTTGCTCCGTTTTCAGCTCCTGAGGAAACTGAAGTCTATAAAAGAAGATGATGAAGTAAGAATTTAACTATAACTGTAAGGAATTAGCAAGGCATTGGGAACTAATAAGGATTGATTCTCATAGAGTAGCTTTGTGATGAAATACAGTATTTCCTGTTAGGTCTGAGTCCTGGTGTGGTGCTGTAGGATAAGCACTGGACTACTAACCACCAGGTTGATGGTTCAAACCCACCAGTTGCTCCTCAAATCAGAACTGACTCCAGCGAGCGTAACAAAAACAAGTCATGAACATGTTCTGGCAAAATGAGTGGTTTATATAACCATTACCATGACAACCTGAACCTCAATGACTGATTTTAGGAGTTGTTTGTTGTACTCTGACCCATTTTCTTGGAAGGCCCTCATACACATTAATTTGGACATCTTAGCTAGGACTAATCTAAAGCAGTTAGGACCTACTGGGAAGGAAATAGCAGCTTAGTAGCTACTTGGTGGTACACTGCAAAGGACAGTGGTCTCTCCACTAAGTAAAATGTTCTGCAGATTGAATTTACCTGGTAGTAATAAGGGATGTTGAAGCATAATGCCAGGAGGAAAAGCAAAGCCTTAATATCTTCAAAAGAGACACTGGATGTGTACTTACTAAACAAGCATCATAAAAAAGATGGAAAGGCTATTTCTTGAATCTGGATTATCAGCTGCTTTAAACTCTTCTGCCTGAGGGAGCAGGTTTCCCAACATTGAGAAAGTATGAAGCCACCAACCCCATTTGAATTTTAGTTGTGGCTTTCAGAACTTTGGGATACACAGTAAGGGTTTCAGAAGTATCACCATTCCCAGTGACACTAAGCAGACATTATGTTAAAGTTAATGAGGGAGTTTTGTGGTCCTCGGAGAGCACAGGGTGGCTGAGAGGGAAGAACATTGGGACATGCAACAAATGACACATGGAAAGTTTTTCAAGTGAAGTATTTTTTTAATGAATCTTAAAAGCTTCCATGAAAGGAGTAGAGATGTCACAACCAGGCAAAATATGAACTGAGAGGAAATTAATGGCTTTGGTGACAGAGTGTTGGGGAGGAGCTATGTAAATATCTCTGATATTATTAGTACCTGTTGGCAGGATTGCCTTATCTCAACTGCTACTCTCCTTAGTCACTCTGTTTTGTAAGGCTTCTGGCCTTTGCAGCAGTGCAGGGGACAAAGAGTCAAAGAATATGGCCCTGCTTCCCTCTGATTTGCTGGAACCTGGGGATTATGTGAGATCGGCGCCAACATGATTCCTTACATTTTTTTTTTTTTTCCTTCAGATAATTGCTAAAGAAGGGGTGAGTGCTTTGAGTGTGTCAGAACTCCAAGCTGCCTGCAGGGCCCGAGGGATGAGATCACTGGGCTTGACTGAGGAACAGCTGAGACAACAGCTCACAGAGGCAAGTTGTAGCTTTTTACTAGAGCTCACTCCCCAACACTTTGCAGGCCTCATTTTGTGATTTCTACTTGGCAAGGAAATGATCCTAACTAATTTGCCTTATTTAACTAAGTTACTTGACCAAGCAGCAGTATGGACACTGACAAGGTCAATTGTTTTTTCACATTGATTGGTATAGATAGGTACTATCTATACCTATTAGTTTTCTATGGCTGACAAATTACCACCAATTCAGTGACTTAACACAACACCCATTGATTAACATAGTTCTGTAGTCAGAGTGCAGGCTGTGTTACTTTCTGGGGTTGTGGGGAAAAATCCACCTTCCTGGAAGGTGAACATACTGTAGAGAGGTATTTAAAATAATTTTACTTAAACATGAACTATTAAGTGGGTTCGTTATCATCTATATCATTTTACAATCACACTATGAGGGAGTGAGGATACTAATTCAACTATATAATATCATTCAGATTGGCTGAATTGAGTTCTTTGCAGTGATAGGACTGAGGTTCCTGTTTCCTTGCTGGATGTCAGCCCCAGGTTGCTCTCAGCTCCTAGATGGCTGCATTCCTTACCGGGTGTGCTCCTCTGCAAGGCCAACAATGGAGAACTTCCACATGCCAAATCCTTCACATGTGTCAACTGTATGACCTCCGTTGTTTCTAACTCTAGCCCCAGATTTAAATTACTCATGTTAGGTGAGGCCCACCAGATAATCTCCCTATTTTATGGTCAACTGATTTGGAACTTTAAATTTGTTGCTGTTGAATCCATTCCAACTCATAATGACAGAGTAGAACTACCCTATAGGGTTTCCAAGGCTGTACACCTTTACAGAAGCAGACTGCCACACATCTTTCTCCTGGTGGGTTTGAACTGCAGATGAGTACTTTAACCACTCACTGTACAGGCTCATTGGCAAAATCCCTTCATAAACAGCACCTAGATAAGCATTTAGTAGCTCAGGTCATGTCGTGGTTAAGAGAGTAGGTGGTGAATCTGAATCGACTAGATGGTAACAGATTTGTTTTTTTTTTTTCAAGTTTTAGATTAGTGTTTGACTAATTGGGAGAAAGTGTATGAACATTAAGGTCTGGAATCTTAGGGCCTTTTTAGCATTCTGCCTGTTACAGATACTGTTAAGAGTCCAGGGAAATTTTGCAATGCAAGGCCTGTTATCTATGTGAATTCCTCTGATGTCTGAACTTTCCTAACCTGGTCTGCTTTCTCAATGACTGACTCCAAATCAATGTAAAGTGTTAACTCTGGTAATAGATGTTTAATATTTTCCCTCAACTAATGTATTTCAACTAAGAGTTCAATGCTCTAAGCCAAAGGAGTGATACCTATTAAAATTCTCATTCCTCTTATCTTGGATCACGCTGCATGCGGCCTGAGCAAGAGTGCTGCATCCCACCCTAATCCCCTTGCAGCTGATTGGTGGATCACATCAGCTAACATCATGGGAATGATTACATCATTATGTAACTACCAAACCACTGAGAATCATGGGACAGCCAAGTTGACGCATATTTTTTAGGGACACAATTCAATCTGTGACACTTATAAAAAAAGTTCTATAAAGTGTACATAAATTATTTTTTTGAATAGGAGCCATTGTTGTGACTGAACCATGTTGTGTAGCTGTTTTCACTTATATCAGGTTGGAAGATGAACATATTGTAGAGAGGTATTTAAAATAATTTTACTTAAATGTGAACTATTAAGTGGGTTCATTATCATCTGTATCATTTTACAATCACACTATGAGGGCGTGAGGATACTAATTCAACTATATAATATCCAGCACTCTGTGTTTATTATTCAAGAAATCCTGTTAGGATATGAGCAGACAATTCATAGAAAGGAACAATTTTAAATGGTAACCATATGAAACATTTAAGCTTACACATACTAAGATGAAGTAAAACTATGAGGTGCCATAGTCACCTATAAATATTGGTAAATAACAGTTTGATGACATTCTGTGTTTCTAAGAGTGTGGGGAAAGGGGGACTCATGCATTGTTAGTCAAAAATTCCCATGGAAAACAATTTGGCAGTATCTATCAAAATTTAAAATGGCATATACTCTTTGGTCTAGGAATTTTACTTCTAGAAATTTATCCTGTTCTTACACATGTACACAATGACATATCTAAGATTTATCGTTGAAATACTGTTAATAGTAGCCAAAAATCAAAAACAGCTCAATTGCATTGTTATTGTAAGCCATTAAGTTGATTCTGACTCATAATGACCCTGTAGGACTGCCCCATAGAGTTTCCAAGGTTGCAATTTTTGTTTTTTGAAACTTTTTACTGTGAGTGAAGATATAAAGAAAATATCATTGTACACTTTGTTTCATCTCAATGATTACAATTCCTTCCATGTAACAAGTTTTCCCATCTCTCCCCTGTGGTTCTTATTTCCCTTCCAAACTTTGTCCTTAGGTAAATGTTGCCCTTTTCATCTTGAATGATTGACCATTCCATGGTGAGCATACCTTACTAGTGTTGTTGTCCCCTGCTATATATATCTATCTACTGCTTGGCTGAAAATTGAGCCATGAGTGTGAGTTCATTCCAGACCTGAAGGGTGGTAGAGGGCCATAGTCTTGGGTTCACCAAGGCTGTAATTTCTATGGGAACAGATTACAAGGTTGTTTCTCCCTTGGATACACTGGTGGGTTTGAACTGCTAATAATTCAGTGAGCAGTAAGCATTTAATCATTGTAGCACTGATTATGATATTTCCACGCAAAAGAATCCTTTAATGATTTAAATATTTAAAATGTTTAAAAAGGAGACAGGTTTACATTTATTGACATGTATTAATCTCAAAGATATACATTGCAGTGGAAAAAAAAAAAGCAAAGGACAAAATAGTGTGTTTATATCACCCTTGGTGTAAAGACAAAAACTATATTAAACAAAATATCTGTCAAAACACAGCAATTCCTTCGAAGATTAGGAAGTGGTAACACTTGTTATGTCTAGGGAAAGAAACAGGGAATAGGGATGAAAGGCAGACTGATTTTTACTAAATGTATTTTATTTGCTTTTTAAGGAGTCTGGTAGCGTAGTGGTTATGAGTTGGGCTGCTAACCTTGAGGTTAGCAGTCTGAAACTACCAATGGTTCCATAGGAGAAAGATGAGGCTTTCTGCTCCCGTAAAGATTTACAGCCTCAGAAACTCTATGCTGGGTTGCTATGAGTCAGAACTGACTCCACAGCACACTACCACCATTTATCTTTGAATTTTGTATCTTATGTATATCTTATTGATTTCAAAATAAATTTTAAAAGCTTAAAAATTTACATTTAAAATTCTCATTAATTAGTTTAATGTTTATTTCTGTGGTTATTAATGAGGCTAATTTATTCTTTCATGTTTTCTGGCTTGGGTGTTTTTGGTCTTTAAGAATATACTTCGCTACTTTGATCCAGAATTGGGTGTGTTGTATGGAGTTTGAGAGTTTAATTGGACATTCCGTTTCCAACTCTGAGACTGACCCCACTGTAATGAGGGAGGCTGCAAGGTACAAGCACTGGCAGAAGTCAGTGTTCGGCTATTAGTTAGCAGCATGAACCCAGGGAAGCTGTAAAATAAGGGAAGCAGTAGATGATTATGGCTTTCTTCCAACTCTGACATTCTGTGATTCTGTTCTCCAGTGGCAAGACCTCCACCTGAAGGAGAATGTCCCTCCTTCTCTCTTGCTCCTGTCACGTACTTTCTACCTGATAGATGTGAAGCCAAAGCCAATAGAGATACCCTCAAGTGAGGAGGTGAGTAACTGGGCTCATGTGAAACTGTATTTGGAATTTGGCCCAACTGTCTTTAAAAACCTTTTAGATTCCTGAAATTAAAGCCTTTCAGAATATCTCTAGCCATAGAGCTGATGATTAAGAGCTAGGCTGCTACAGAAAGATATGGCAGTTTGCTTCTGTAAAGATTACAGTCTGGGAAACTATGGGGCAATTCTGCTCTGTCCTGTAATTGTTAGACACTGCTGGGTTTGGTTCCCACTCATAGTCACCCTATATGGGGCTTTCTGAGGCTGTAAATCTTTAAAACCTAAAGCCTCATCTTTCTCCTGAGGAGCAGCTGGTGGGTTTGAACTGCTTACTTTGTTCAAAGTTGCTATCGCAATGGAGTGGATTTTTATAGAAAAACTGCTGGTAGTTTCGAACTGCTGTCCTTGAGGTTAGCACCCGATTTGTAACTACTACGTAACAGTGCTCCTTAATCTATAAATTAAAGATTACTTCCTTTAATCTCTCCTTGATTTAGGAATTTTACTAATACAGGTCCAGTTTATTTATCTATCTAGTCTTTATTCCAAATTGCTTTTTCCATCCATATTTTCGGCCAGACTGAATGGTTCCTATTCTTCTATGCTTATTTCATTATCCATATTCCTCTTTAAGAAGCAAATGACTACTCTAGAATGTAAACTCACTTATTATCCTTACTCACTTATTGCTACCATAGTTTCTGCAATTTTGTTTCTCCTAGTCCTTTACTGCAAACCCCAGTATTGGCCCAGTCCCTAGAGCATCTTGCTCTAGTCCAGTCACAAAGGGCCTCTCACCTCTCTTGGCCTGACTCAGAAATTCATGGGCAAGAAGAGAAAGAGTATTACACAAGATGCTGCCCATGTGGTTCAGTAGTTTAGACTAAGCACTTTACAGTGCAGACTGATTATTTTTAATGCGAGTTATGTTGTTGAGTCCTTGGGCAAACCAAAGAAAATCACTTGAGGTTCAGCATGAAAATGTACTTCAGGAAACAACGTCTTGCTTCTCTTTTCCTTTTCCAGAGACCAGTCTGAATTTAGGGAGGCTTGGTGGCATAGTGGTTAAGTACTTGGCTACCAACCAAAAGGTTGGGGGTTCAAACCTCCCAGCTATTCCATGAGAGAAAGATGTGGCAGTCTGCTTTTGTGGAGATTTACAGTCTTGGAAATTCTATGGGGGCAGTTCTACTCTACCCTATGTTGTGGTTATTAAGTACTTGAAATCTCCCTGGGAGCAGGAAGTCTCTTTTTTCTCCTGCAGACTTGATGGCAATGGGTTTAGTGGGTAGTCTAGATTTGGGCTTAGTCCAGGAGTGCGTTTAGGGAGAGTGGAGGCAAATTTGGAGCACAGACCATGTTTTTAATGGCATGCTAGTGGTTTCTCACTCTAATCAAACTCCTGAATCCATTTAAAATAAACCAAAGTTATGTGACATTTTTAGACTACTCTCAGGAACAAGGAAATCTTGAATTAGTACAATGCCTCAGACTGAAATTTGGGTTTCAAAGGTATATAGTTACTGCTTTCTGGGTAAGAAAGGCCTAGGAATGTAGGACAAAGTGACAAGCTCCTAGGCATTTTATTGGTTGCATTTTCATCCATGTTTAAAACTTAAAAATACAAAATGAGAACCAGTTAATATACTAGATTCTGTAAAGAATTTAGACGTTAAATTGAATATACTATACTTTTAGATTTACATGTCTTTCCTTCCAAAGTATACAAAGAAATTACTTAAAAGCAATTATATTTACTCTTTAAAGTTAATTAATATAATTCTTAAACATACGTTAGTTGGCTATTATAAAATGCCATTGTTCCCCCGGCCTCTATTTTCCTCTTACAGCAGGTGTTAACCAACACCTAAAGATGAGGCTTTCTGCTTCCACAAAAATTTAAAGCCTCAGAAATGCTACACAGGGTCTCTATGAGTTAGAACTGATTCTGTAGCACAACCACCCTAATCAACTAGGTAAATTTATCAAGTATTTATTATCATACACTAAAAATCATAATTTTGACAAAACTATGTTAATACTAAGGAGCCCTGGCAGCATAGTGGGCTTTGTATTGGGCTGCTAACCTAGGTCAGAAGTTCGAGTCCACTTGGTGCTCTATGGAAGATGAGGCTTTCTGGTCCCATAAAGATTTATAGCCTTGGAAACCCTGTTCAGAGTCACTATGAGTTGGAATTGACTTCTCAGCATACCACCACCACCAGTTAATGCTATTAGAAACTTACAAGTAATTGAGAAATGACCTTTGTCCTTTTTTTTTGAGACATGAGAAAATGATCAGAATTGGCAAGTCAGTGGCTTGTAAATGACTAAAGATTTGAATTACTAAGGATTTGAATTACTAGTATCTAACTAAAGGGCAACTTTTGTACTTAGGGTATCAAAAGGGGAGATAAATAATATTAAACTAAGTTGCTATTTCATGAACACATTCTATGTCATAAATGGTGTATGTAGTTAAAGGAATGAGGGATAATGGAAAGCAAATTGTGCTTATACAAAGCACTGACTGCTATAAAGTGATTGTTTCAGAAGATCAGACAGCTTCTTATGACTGAATAAAACATTTCTCTTTTTAGGTTCCAAAGACTGATAGTCCTGTAGAATCATTGGCTTCACCTGAATCTAAAGAGAATATGGTGGACTTTGCACCTCAGATGAAGGAAACTAAGGTTAGAAAATTATTTTTCATTTGGTTAGCTAGGTTAAAAAACACGAAAATCATGAATTCTATTTGAACCCCTTTAGTGAAACTGGGTCTTAATGCAGTAGTGTTCCTTTATATTTCTTGTACTGAATCTGCTTCTCTGAAAGTTCCACATTTGTCTATATGTAATTGGATTCCAGATTTGGCCTCTATATCCTGTTCCAGAATATAGTGTAGTTGTTAAAAGTTCCTGGTAGTCATGTTTGTGAGTGTAGATCTAATACACGTTCTGTTTTGAATCAATAATCCAACCTTCAGTTCTGATGTTTAAGGGTGAAGACTTTATACAGCTGCCCTCAGCTACACCATCATCAACCGTAACACAGTCAGCACCTATTTCTTTACCTAAAGGATCCATCACTTCTTCCAAAGAAACTGTAAGAATCGAAAAAGATTTTTTCTCTCTAGTTAGCTCTAAAGGTAGTAAGAACCCAGAATTGTAACTACTGTGTAATACTGCATAATTTTCTTAACTTCCAAACAGGAAGTTGTAGGCTGAAGTGTAGTCATCTGATAACCACTACATTTTTAATCTCAATTATCCAAAAATGAAAAGGGGTGGGGGGGGTGGGGGAACCAACCAATGCAATTGTTTAAATTGCATTGTATCAAATATCAAATTAAACACGTTAAATCTTGTGGCTAATTACAATATAGGCAGTTCCTTATTTTCTTCTGTACCATATGGAAATAGTTTCCTTATGGTAAGGGCCCTGATGTCAGGAAACATCATCAGAAAAACAATGTAAGTCTTAGAAGAAATGTATGTAAATAAGAAATTATCCACTAGTCCCATTTGGGTGAAGAATTTGTGGCAGAGCAGAAAGCATGATACAAGTAAGCAGTAGGGGACTCAGCGTAGTGTTTCTACTGGTTCTTGAAGGATTAAAAAAAGATCTGTGAATACACAGATGCGGTCAACATCCAGAAAATTATCCTTAGGCATACAGGGGCTTCATTTGATTGCCTTTATTTTTATTTCCAAGGTAAACTATAAATTCATATATGACTTTCTGGCTTATCATTATTTTGAGGAAATTAAAAGGGATTCCTAATTTATATAATCCTTGAGTGATATAAACTGTTAATATACTTGGCTGTTGATGGAAAGGTTGGAGGTTTGAGTATAGCTTAAGGTGCCTTGGAAGATAAGCCTGGGGTATCTCTTCTGAAAAGTCAGCCATTGAGAAACTGATCCTATGAAGCACAGTTCTGACGTACATGGGGGTTACCGGCAACTGTTTTTTTTAAAACAATTTATATACTTAATTATGATCAGAGGCTAAAGTTCTTATGTTTTTAATCTAGATACTCCAGGCCAACTCACAAAATACATCCCAGAGTAGCAAGGCTAGTTCAAAAGGAGCCTGACCACTTGAAGATGAAGCTCACTTCTCTCTCCAGCTTCCTGCCCCCTGCACTAGTATTCGGCTAAGACTGTGTGTCTGGTTTTAGATGATCAGCCATTTAGTCCTGGGAGCAGTTCTTTGAGGCTTATCACCATTCCAGATGTCAGCAGTGAGACCAAGGTCAGACCATTTCAAGAAATATAATTGAACAACTTTATATTTGTGCACGTTCTTTAAAAGAGGAACATTTTTACATAAAGGAATCAGCTTGTTGCCTTAAGATACCTCTGCTTCCTATGGCTTGGAATTCCAGAGTAAGTATTTGGGAATGCCAAAAACTATCATAAAAGCATTTGATTAACCAACTTCTTCAGCATGATCCATCGGTAGGAACGGTGTCATGCCTGAAATTACTAAGTACTTATGAGGTGGTTGGATATGTGCTCCTTTAAAGCTTGGATATAAAATCCCTGGAAATAAATACGTTTCTTGGAGGAGAAAATGGGAGTTAAACAGACTGGTAATCATAAAGGTTTGGCAGCTAGTTGGCTGATCTGACAGACATTCCCTTCTTGGGCCTGCAGAGGCTGCTGGGAGCTGGGAGGCTGCCACTGCTCCAGCACATATGGCTTTCATTAGCCACCATTTTGCAAGGAAACATAATTAAGGGTTTAAGGCGTAACCATTTGTTTGTGCTGGGTGTGTATTTTTCTGGTCTGTTTGTCTTTCACAAATAAGACTATTTGTTAGTCATAGGGGTTGTTAAAGTCTGCTATAATCCTTGTGCTACCCAATAACAAGTATTCTGCTCAGGTATTTACGTCTGACAATACTGAAACACTTAACTTCATGAACACATTGCTATGTGGCTGATCACAACAACTCCTCTTGGGAAGAGGTTAGAAAGGAAAAGGTATTTTAGGTTGTGGGTGATGAAATTAAGATTTCTTCATTTGAAACTGAAAGCAGTTAGATGGGAGTCAATTAAACCAATAGAATTAAAGTGAAGTAGAAATGTTTCCTGAACCTTTTCTCCATCAGAGGACAAGCCCCACCACACAGTGCTAATGAACTTGTTTCTTGAAAATGATTCCCTACTGTGCAAATGCAGCACTCCATGGAGGCTTGCCACTGGTCTAGCAAGGTGATTCACGAGACATTTTCCCATTTTAAAAATGACAGTTTATTTTAATTAGCCCACATTTCAAGTGTTGGCTGTGGGAAAGGAATTTGCTAGTTAACTTGCTCAATCCTGTTTAGATAAATGATTCAGTTGTGTTGTTTAGGCTGTTCTAAAATTCTTTCTAGCTTTCCCTATAAACAGTGAGAATGGCTAGGTCAAGAGGTCCCCAGTTCCTTTTGGCATCAGTTGGCCTTCACCCTTTCTGCAACATCTAGGCATTTAGGAATCCTGGTGTGGCACTGTGGGTTAATATGCTGGACTGCAAGGTCCATTTAAATGGTAAGGTCAGTGGTTCAAGGTCACCAGCTGCTCCTTAGAAACCCTATACAGGGTTGCTAAGAGTCAGAACTGACACAGTCGCACTTAACAACAGATAGTTAAGGCCACAAATGAAAAATTAAGCTTTCTGTTTCTGCAAAAGATTTACAGCCTTGGCAACCATATATAGGGTTGGTATGAGCTGGAACCCACTTAACAAAAAGCATTTAAGGAGGAGCCCTGATGGTATTGTGGATTAGGCATTGGGCTGTTAACCAAATGGTCAGTGGTTTAAAACTACCAGTCTTTCCTCTGGAGAAAGATGAGAATGTCTGCTGTGGCTTTAGCTTCGGAAACCCTAGTGTGGCACTGTAGGATAAGCACTGGACTAACCTAACCGCACGGAGCCCTGGTGTGGCGCTGTGGGATAAAGCACTGTTCCACAAGGTCAGTTTGAACCACAAGGTTACCAGTTCAAAATTACCAGTCGCTTCTTGGAAACCCTCTACAGGGTTGCTGAGTTGGAACTCACTTTACAGCACTAACAATAACCGCAAGGTCAGCAGTTCAAACTCACCTGCCACTCCTCAGAAACTATATTAAAACCCCACAGTTCTACTTTGACACACATGGGGTATGAGTTGGAACTGACTCCATGGTAACAGGTACTGGCAGGCATATATGACACTTTAGACATATCTCTTCCTGTTCCTATCATAGTAGCTCATAGAAGGGAAGGGCATTTTCTTGTCATCACTTAGGGTGCCTGGCTGCTGGATCTAGCCCCAAACTGAAACCTAGCTATAACAGTGCTCTGGTAATCAGTTCACTGATTGCTTTGCAGTATTTGTGGATTCCAGTGATATATATACTCCTACTAGGGCCAACTTTAAGCTACTAATATGGTCACTGAACACAAGAGTTAGGAAGAGACATGCACAGTCAGCTCTTGGGAGTAGGCTGCAGTACACCACTGACTATAGCTATCCTGGATTCATAAGACAAACTTCTAGTTGGCTACATGTTCACTATGTGTATCACTTCTATGTGCCAAGACCCATGTCTGGGAGGCAGTATAGTTATCAATGGTCCTGAATATCGGTCAAGTGCCAACTTTGGAAGAAATTGCCCTCAATGTTTGGGTTCTACAGACCTTCCCCAGGTCTGGCTCACATCAGCTGAGGGAATAGAAGGCTGTAAAGCTTCAAAGTTTCCTGCTTTCCCTGGTCTCTGCTTCCTACAAATATCCATATGCCTCAGCTCTGCCAGCTGCTGATAAACTCATCAGTTAAAATTTTTAGGCATTCTCTAAAACCCATCTCAGTGATGTTAGACTTGGCTTGTGTCTTGCACATAGAAGCAAATTCTACTAGAATAGAATGTTTGTGAAGTGACACTTTATGCTTAGGAAGCTGGATTTATGCCGTATCCAATTCTGCATGTAAGTCATTACAATACTAATCATATTGGTGATGTCAAATAATGCATTTATGATGCTAAAACCTGAAGGTAAAGATTTCCCAGTCACAAACACTGCACAACTGTAGATAAGCTCAGACTAATGTAACTTTGGAGTCCTGGTGTGGTGCTGTGGGATAAAGCACTGGACCGCAGGGTCAGCAGTTCAAACTCACCAGCCGCTTCCACAGGGTCGCTATGAGTCGGAACAGACTTGATGGCACTTAACAACAACAATGTAACTTTAAGGAGTCCTTGTGTTGCAGCAGATTAGGCAATGCAAGGTCAGTAGTTTGAAGCTTCTAACTGCTCTGCAGGAGAAAGATGGGGATGTTCACTCCCATAAAAGATTTACAGTGTTGGAATCTGTCCTATAGGATTCCCTTTATGAGTTGGAATTGACTCCGTGATAATGGGCTCTATGTAATTTTAAAGCAGAATGGGGCAATAACCAATGCAACTGAAATCTTAGCCTGCTGGCTCCACCCAGTGGTGGCTGATAAACACAGCAACTTCATTATCATTTATGAGAGGATTTCTTGTACCATCTGATGTTCAATCTTACTTACCTGAGATCAATATACTACATTAGCAGTGCCAAGGGAATGGTGATTCCCAGCCTATGGCAATTAGAAAAGACGGAAAGGCAGTATTGATTAATGCTGTTGTGATCCCAGACCCTCATCTTTTAGGCCTCAGGAAAGCAGACATTCAATGCCTTGACAGCACAATGTCTTCATTAGATAAACTAGGTTCCTTTTCTCAAGAGACCCAATCTGGTCATCTAAGTCAAATGGCCATTTCATTTTCTCTCAGGTCAACCTCACCATCGTTTGACAGCCAGTTCAGACTCTGGGGAAATTTGTGGGTGATTTAAATAGTAACAGCAAGGATATCACTGCTTTAATAAGAATGCTTTATATTTCTCCAGCACCTCTCCCCAAGGAGAGAGCCTTTTATAGATTCTCTATCCATTCACACAACACTGCTTCAAGGTAGGGCCATGGCAGAAATGATCATGACTATTTTACAAGGAAAGACACTACTATAAGGTCTCAAAGCAAATGGTTTTAAGAGTGAAAATGCATATCCTGCTCTGTTCACCAAATGATGTGTTGTTTAAACATGAATGCAAATGGTATTATGTTGACATATTTACAGAGAAACAAGAATAAGAGAGACTTTTACAATAGTGACCAACACTGCAGCTGCCCAAATCACCTAGCTCAGAAAGGAAACTTTAAAGCAGCAATCCTCCTTTCCCTACAGAAAGGAAAGCTTATTGGACTTTCTTTTGTATTCAACAGTAATCCAGCAACAGTTACAAAAAGTAAGCTTGAAGTATAGAGGCTGAGTAGTTGAACAATAGCATAATTGGGAGCCAGAATCCACTTAGTGAGTACAGTGATAGCCAGCAGGCGGCAGAAGAAAATTCCCAAGTAGTCAAAATAACAAACATTCAGAGAATTTGTTTCCCTTTCCTTGAGGGTTGGGTTGAGTTTGTACAGGAAGAACCATAGGAAGTCAAGATCTGTGATAGTCCTAACAAATGCCTTCTGGTCATATGGATATAGGAAGTATGGGCTGGGAGAAGATGATGACAGAGAACAGGTTAGGAGAAATGAAGTCAGGGGCCCGACATGGCTAACAAGTCCTAGGTGACCAGAGGTCTTTTTTCCGCCCCGCTCTCTCATATTGAAGTACAGGCAGAACCACACCCACATGGAGAGGGTAGAGACATATCTAGGTTTGAGTATCTGCAAACCCTTGTTGAATAGTCCTTAGTTTCTTTCTTAATCATTTGTACTCTATCTGTCTCTGACCCCGCACTCCCATCCCACTCACTCTAACAGTTTCCTGAGGAAACAATCTGTTGTTGAGAGCTGCTGCAGCCTTGGCTCTCTGCCTAGTGCCTCTGGTGCACTGACAGCAGGTTCCTGCCCATTGTACAGATGTCTTATTTTCCTGTCATTCCGAGACGACTAGAGAGGTAGGAAGTCTGTCCTAGAGGTCTCGGTGCAGGACCTAAGAGGAAGAGGTTAGAAGGAAAAACTGCAGGGACCATGTGGTGCCCTTTGGAGAGACATGACCCAAAGGTCCATTCGTCTCTCACTTTTCCAGTT